AGCCCCTGACCTCCTGAGGCTACCGTGCCTTTCTGCCTGAGCTCTTGAGCGATTCACGTCTTCATTCATATCTTTGTCAGAATCCCATTCCATATCCCACTCAGGGTAATCCTCGATATTACCAGCATCTAATTCAGAAAGATCTTCAAAATAATCAATAATGTCCTGTGTAGTAAACACTGTTTTCTGTGCATGTTTTGTCCCAAGTAGGCTTGTTTGGGGATTGGGTCACGCTCACCGTTGTTTGTGTGGCTAGGCACTCGGATTATTTTATATCTGCTTGCAGTCTAGGGCTGAAAGGGTTAACAATCTATTATATATTTCATGTAGAACAACTAGATGTATATTTTGCTTCGTACTGGACAAGTTTGACTGTATTAGTAATATAAAACCTTCTTTCCTTGAGAACAAGGTTTTATTTTCAATGTTCTAGATATAATTTGTGATTCTTCTGTAGTGTTTGGTATTTTATTCTTACTCACACACACAATAAAAACATCAACTGATCTTTATCCTTTTTTCCTTTTCGACAGGGGACCCTCTTCCATTAATGTGTTGACAGGAAAGGTAAAGAGAAGAACATTTTTTAAATAGAATTATCTGCAGGTGATTGGCGAGTGCTTTGCTCCTTCTCTCCTATCAAACGTCTATTGTCCTGATCTCTCCTTCCTCTTTTTTTGTGTTTGTTACTCTCTTGTAACACCTCTAATCTTTGACACTTATATGACCTTATTGTGTTGCAATTGCAGTAAAACTCTTACTGAAACTAAAATTAAAACAAAATTTAAAAAAAAAAAAAAAATTTTAAGGGGGGGACACTTGTACCCTCTAAATCAAAGATGTATAGATGCTTGAAAATGATAAAAGTACAGGTAGCACCTGAGAAAAACGCCCTCAAGCCTGTCATGATAATATATTTGTTTCCTTTTCAATCAAAGGGAAGTAAGGACTGAAATATTTTATTGTCAATTTTCAGTGCCAGTCCACTTGGCAATCTTCCATCGCAGTGTTTCTGTTCCGTATGACAGTGCACCACCTGTCCAGTCTGACAATTTAAACAATTTTTTTTGATAGTCTACTAGTCACCAACAATCAACAACCCCTGACCTTTACTAAACCCAAACACAAGTGCTGAACAATTTTCAGAAATGGCCTATAGCAGTCTAAATGTGTGCTACATAGAAGTTTGCTTTGAGAGTTTGTGAACTATAACCCTCCCTTAGCACTGTGGTGTTGTGGAAACCTTTGAAATTAACTCTTTTTAAACTGCTTTTTTTCTTTTTTTTTCCTCTGAGACTCGATCTGTCTCTTGTCTTTTTATTCAACCTTTTTTTAAAATTGTAAATCTTAGCTCGGTTTGGCATAGACAGACAGGCAAGAAGGAAGCAGTTGGCCTTCTATATGATTTGAATAGTGTCAATGGAGTAAAACTTCACAATTTTAAACTTTTTTTTTGCTTTCCTTTCATGTTCATGTCTATTTTCAAGATTATAGGACACAAAACTGGTAGGTTTTATTCTGCTGTTTCTGTCTGTCTGTCTACCTGTCCATCTCTTCCCCACCACTAAATGACTATTATTTTGTATATATTTAAGTGTTTGTCTTTACTCTAACCCAAACCCCTCACCTTCCACAGCCATATGGCACAACGTTCCCCATCATCGGGGTGGTAGACATGGTCAATGCCATTTTCATGCTGCTCGACCACCTGGGCATTGATAAGGTGGGTGTAAATATATCAGTGGACATTATCTTTTCTTGTACTCTTTTTAATTCCAAGAGTCGTCCACAGGTAATGAAATTCTGAATATGAAGGTGCCGTTATTGCATTTGCACAGTGCAGATAGTTAAAGAAGTTTTTTAAATTGTGTTTCCTTATGATTTATTCATACTTAAAGGTAAACCTCTCTGGACCAAAAATTTTGGAAATTATCCTCTATGTAGTTGACACATCCGTGAAATGTAAGTTGTATTGCCTTCACTTTGCATTTGTAAAAAAATTGTAATTTACGACTTTCATTTTTTTACTTTTAAAAACATTTTCAGGCATTTTCTTAGTCTGGTCCACCATGTTCAGTTTACTGTCATGTTGAATGTTCTCCTTATGTAAAAAATTTCTGTTTCTTTACTATCAAACATCTATCGTCCTTATCTCTCCCCTTCCTTTTATGTATTTGTTACTCTCTTGTAACACCTCTAATCTTCAGCTTTTATATTACTTAATTGTGTTGTAAAAATGTAAGTGCCGTAAAAGTTTACAAAAGCAAAGTTAAAAAATTGATATTTTTTCCTTCTGTTTTTTTGTCCATAGCTTTACGGTTCCGTTGGGTCATCTCTTGGAGGAATGCTGTCTGTGCAGTCTGCTGTCTCCTATCCTGAAAGAGTTGGCAGGTCAGTAAGCTTTGCACGCCTGAACGGAAAAACGAAAGACGGACAATAGGCCTACACTATTTTGGGTGCAATAGATTTCTCTAATTAAACAATTCAGAAATGATTCTATGTGATTTGATTTTATTCCTGGGTTCTGTTAATTTTGTGGGATGGATTTTAGACTGAGTGATTCTATAACTTTGGTTCCAGGCTCAAAATTGTCACTTCAGACGTAGAGTCCTTTTCTGAGGCTAACTCAAATAATTGTAATTAGATAGACATTGCGACCTCAGAGCTTTCTTGTCGTATCTCCATTATACTGAAAATGTGATGTCTTCTTAAGCTCACTCTTTGTTATGAACTGTTTTCACCACTGAAAAGAAGGGAGATACGACACGAAAGCACTGAGGTTGCGACATGCTGGCATCTGTGTTGCTGAGAATAAATTAGGCTTATATTTTTAGGGTAAAGTAAGTCGATTAAGGTTTTTACTTTTTCTTCAATCAAGTTTTGCCCTTCAGTCTTTTGATCTGACAGAATCTTTAGACGGGCATGAAACAAATACTGTGGAAATTGTCTAAGACAACCTCCCATTTAGAGGAGAAAAGTGCAGTGTCATCTCATTAAAATGTGAAAAAAACATAAAGGCTGAATTGGAAGTGGCAGTTTGTACAGACGATTGTTTTTTGTTGGTGGCCTTTAGGACAGGCTCGACTGTATATATTTCTTTAACAAGAAAATTTTTACCCTCAATCAAATTTTGCCATTAGATACTTGAACTTACTTCTGGACTGAGGGCACTACTAGTAGGTTCTACCACAACTTTTGTCCTGTCTGCGTGTTTCTCTCTTATAGTTTTGCCAAAAGCTTCAAGATATCGACATGCTAGCAAGAAAACTGCACCCTTTAAGAAAATGATCAGTGTTTACTTTCATTGAGTTGTATCTGTCTGTCTGTTAGTCTGTTTTTATACTGGTGTGTTACATTCCCATTAACGTAATTTATATAATTTAGAAAGCAGGCTTGGACCTTGTCTATCAAGGACAACCCGGGCTGAGAGGTATACAGTGTCTCAGTAGAAAGACGGAGACAGTGGATAAAAATTTTCCCTACAAGGAAATCAATCTCGCGTCTTCTGTGTGTAGTGAGGAAGCGCCTATCGGCTACCCCAGAGAAGCCTGTCATGTTCTCCTTTTTACTCAAATTTTTCGTTTCAATTTTTTTCCTAATACTACTAGCGAAGTGAATTTCACTTTATTTTTTATTGTACAAATTTTGCCCATCAGAGGAAATTGTTACTTCCTCCCAGCTTGACTCCGCCTAGTAACAGAAATATGCAATGTTTGACCCTCGATAAGAGATACGTGCACAACCTGTAGCTTTTTCATTATGGAAACTTTATTCAACATTTGAGTGCTTTATGTGATGGGATATAGGCCAATTGCCTCAAACACTGAATAAACTTTTATACTTACTTCCACTACCAGACTAATCACCATCTCCTCGTGCGCCCAGTCACACCCATCCTCCATCGCCATGCGTTACCTACAGCGTAAATGCATCATGTGCGACCCCAACTGGAACAAGGGCCACTACTATGATGGACCTTACCCGAAAGTTGGGATGAAACTGGCTCGGTGAGTATGTCTATGGTCCGTACGATACTTTTCCTTGAAGATAGATTTGTATTAGGTAGTATGTGTTGTAGATCGAGGATTACTTTTTTTGGACTATAATATGTAGTACAATGATAATAGTAGTGATAATAATTATAATGATGATGATAACAATAATAAAAATAATAATAATAATAATATAATAAATAATAATAATTA